GTAATCAAGGTATATAGGGGTTTATGTTGTAAATACCCTTGGGGTATAAATATATTTTTGTGTTAGTTACTTTAGTTAACTAAGCTTTTATTGTAAATCATATATTGTAATCCTTTCTCTCTCAATATCAACACAAAAGGTGATTTCTCCATTGTTGATTTCTTGAAGCTTTTGTTCATAGAACTTGATTCAGGGTTTAACAATTCGTATTAGAGCAGAAGACATGTTTGATTTGATTCAATTTAGTCGAATTTTAAAAGATTTTTGAAAGTTTTGAACTCTGTTTTGAGGATCGACTGTTTCTTGATCAATGCCATTGACTTTGAAGAATTAGTGATCATTTCTTGTTTCATTTGATTCAGTTTCAGTTATGGAAAGAATTTGAATCAATTTTATCATCAATTTGATAGATTTTGATCATAATCTTGAATCTTTAAAGATTTTTCTATTCGAACTGAGTTCTTGACAGTTTGGGTTAATTTGACAAAATTAGCCTATTGTAATCCATTTTTGGTACACAGATCTTCATTAATTGTGTTGCTACACACATTTTGAGGCATATTGAGTTGTATCAAATTTGGATAAGTTTTTGAATTTTTTTTTGTTGAAGATCTAAGTATATCGCAAGGTTGAGTATGAATATCTATCGCATAGCTTTCTGCAATAGTTGAGTATATCACACTTGTGGTGTGCGATATTTGGTATTTATTGCACTAGTTATCTGCGATATTTGACTATATCGCATCTGTTATCTGTGATAGTTGACTATATCGCATAAATAAGCTACAATAGTTGAAACTATCGGACAAAGGGACAACGATATTTAGAACTATCATACAAAGAGCTTGTGATAGTTGGAACTATCACATAAAAGGTCTGCAATAGTTGAATATATCGCATAACATTGTTGCAGTTACATTGATAGTCTTGCGATAGTTGAGGTCTGAGATCGTTTGAGATACTTGGTCTTCTCAGAGTTTGGATATTTGGATCATTTTAACAATCTTGTCTTGTGGTCAATCAGGTTTTATGACAATGTCTTCTCGAGAAGCAATGGCAATTGGTTCTGATAGTAAACCACCAGTTCTATTCCGCGGAGACTACTCACAATGGAAAAATAGATTCTTGGATTTCATTGACAGACATGAACTGGGTGAAGAAATCTTATTGTCATTGAAAGAAGGTCCTGCATAAATATTGGTTGAAGTACCATGTATACTAGATGTTGATCTTTCAATTCCACCCCGAAAAACACAAAAAATATCCATCTAAGATGATTGATAAGGAGAAAAACCATTTTAAAGCTGATAAATTGACTAGATCATATTTGCTTCAAGGCCTTACTAATGAGATCTATAATGCCATTGATAGTCATAAGACAACTAAAGGTATGTGGGATCAAATTTCTAAGTAGATGATGGGTACTGAAGTTAGAGCTCAAATCAAAGTTACTAACTGCATTACAAGTTATGAGGACTTCAAAGATAAAGAAGGAGAGAGTTTGGAATATATTTATGATAGATATTGTAATTTGCTTAATGAACTTAGGAAGAATGGTACTATGAAGACAAATATTGAGAACAATGTTAAGTTTCTAAACAATCTAAGACCAAAATGGAAACGTTTTTCTATGAATATAATTCAGAATAAGAATTTATCTGAATTGGATATTCATTTCATATATGAAAACATCAAAAAGAATTTTAAGAGATTTTGGAGAGTCAGAAAAAGACTGTGAAGTCTATAGATCCTTTGGCATTGGTTTCTTAAAAGAAGCAACAATATTCTTCTAGTACCAGGAGTTCAAGGTATGAGAAAGATGAGAGTGAGAGTTCAGATAACGATGAAGAGAAGAGTGATTTTGATTCATAATTACAGGATTTAAAACATGCCATGATTCTTTTGATAGGCATTTCAAAAGAAGTTCTATAAGAAACCGTCCTTGAACAAATAAAGGTTTTCTTCTAGTTCAAAGAAGTTTGACTGAAAGAGGTATGAGAACAAGAGGTTTGATAACATGAAGTTTAAAGGAAATAAGTTTGAAAAATAAGTTTGAAGGAAAGAAATATGAAAATAACACTGTTGATGATGTTCTGAAATGTTACAATTGTGGTAAATCAGGACATTTTACTGCTTGACATCATTGATATAGATTCAGATGTAGAAGAGTCAGAATCTCTCAAGTTGCAAGTCAAAGGTGAGATAGAAGAATTGTTATTTTTCTGAAAATGAGTTTGAAGAAGAGGGAGACTTCGACATGATTAATCAGTTAAATGAAGAAATTTTAGAGTCAGCTGATAGAGAGAAATATCAACATGAACCTTTTGTGTGTCAAATGGGCAACATGTTAGAACAGAAAGTGCACCGGCACAATCGGAGCAAATTGAAAGATGAGAGCGTTCTAGAATTAGGGTTGCTTTTTCTAGAATACTCTGAGAAGAAGATTTTTGTTAGAAGCATCAAGAAGTTAGACATTGTGAAAGTATTGGGCATCACTAAATTCAACAAGGATTGACAAACTGGATACATTTACATGATGAGATCCCAAGTTCAAAGTGAAAGTGCTATAAAATCAAAACACAAAGTGGTACAAGTACACAAAAAAAGTTAGTTCATGTATGGTATTCGGTCTTCCATGTCACAAGACAAGATGGAAGAATATGGAGATTTTCTGAAGCTGACTTTCATTTATTAAACTTATAAGATTTGAAATTCACGTATTTTGAGTTGCGTCAGAGGACAATCAGACCTAAAGATGTTACCCTTGCTCTAACTAGTTTTTTAAAAGACAAATGAAATATTCTTACATTTATGACTTACAAATTGGAGTAGAGAGCAATCAGAGAAAAGTGAACTTACTCAAGCCAAATCAGAGTTTGTCAGATGTTGAGAACTTTCCTCTTTACTTGATCTTGGAAGAACCTGAGTTCAGTGTGGTGCACATGATTGGAAAAGGTGAGAGAAGCTTTTTGAGATTCAGAGAGATAATAAGTTTTTCTGATGGCACTTTGAAACTGATCAAGATGTAACTGAAGAACAAACTTGATGTTGACAAACGAGAGAAGGTAAAGATGGATGAGAGGGACAAGGAATTGATTGTCAAAGCCTTAGATTCTATTGAAGATAGATTGCAATTCAGGAATATTATTAGAAGGTTTGAAACCTATTTTGATCCGAGAAAGAAAAAAAGAAGATTTGTATAAAGATTGTAGCATGATTACAAACGGGGATAATGTTGGGTCTAAATTGTAATTATAATCAATGTATAAGGGCTTATCTTGTAAATACCCTTGGGGTATAAATACATTTTGTGTTGGTTAATTTAGTTAACTAAGCTTTCAGTGTAAACTGTATATTGTAATCCTTTCTCTCTCAATATATTACAAAAGATGATTTCTCCATTGTTGATTTCTTGAAGCTTTTGTTCACACAACTTGATTCTGGGTTTAACAGGCGGTGGTTCAGATCGGCGATAGTCGACGGTGGTTCATGTCGGAGGTTGTCGATGATGGTTTATATCGGTGCTGGTCCACGGTGGTTCAAAACGGTGGTGATCCATGGTGGTTCAGATGGCGGTGGTTGGCAATGGTTCATATCGGTGGTGGTCCGTGGTGGTTCAGATCGGTGGTGGTTTAGATTGACGGTGGCCGTCTGTGGTTCAGATCGGTGGTTGTTCAAATCAGTGGTTCAGATCAACGGTAGCCAGCTGTAGTTCAGATCGATGGTTGTTTAGATTGGTGGTTCAGATCGACGGTGGCCGGTGGTGATTCAGATTGGTGGTAGTCGCTGGTGGTCGGCAGTGATTCAGATCAGTGGTGGTCCGAGGTGGTTCAGATTGGTGGTGGTCCGTGATTAGATGGGGAGGTCGTTAGTGGTTCAAATAGGTGGTGGTCTACGACCGTTCAAATAACAATGATTGGTGGTGGTTTAGATTGACGATGGTTCAGATCGTTATGGTGGTTTAGATTGACAGTGGTCGATGATGGTTCAAATAGGGGTGATTCAGATCAGTGGTAGTCCATAGTGGTTCAGATCGGTGGTGGTCCTTGGTGGTTCAGATGGCGGTGGTCTGCAATGCTTCAAATTGATGATGGTCCACGTGGTTCAGATAACGGTGGTGGGTAGTGCTTCAAATCAGTGGTAGTTCAGATCAGTGGTAGTTCAGATGTCGGTGGCTATCGGAAATTTAGATCGACGGTGGTCGGAGGTGGTCGACGATGGTCACATAGGGTCTTATGAGATTAGAGTATATTGAGTTAAGGACATATTTGATAATTATTAAAACAGAGAATTTCATTCCATCAAAATATTATGTAGTTGCTAAGAAATGTTAAATTTTTTTATTTGTACGATTTTGAATATTCCTTTCCTAAAAAAAAATGAACCAAACTAGAGAATGAAATTTGATCAACAGAATTCAACATTCCAATTTCATCAGATTCTTTCAGAATCTGCAAACCAAACAACCCCTTGTATACTTAAGCAAACATATATTTGCTTGTTCAAAATTTACGAAGTCTGTTAAGATCAACATAAACAAAGTATGCAAGAATATACTTACTAGAACGTGTTTTTATTGATCGTGGATTGAGATGTATCCATTTTCCAAAAAAGGAGATTTGATTCCTAATTTCCTATCACCGATGGGGACAAAGACATAACAAGAGAACTTGGAATAAGGCTCGTTTCCATCCCTATATTGATACCGGTGTTTTTAAAAACTCACCACAGTAGCTGCCATGGCGACATGTAACTCAAGAGTCGTATTTGATTCGGCATGTATTTTTCACACATCATTAATATCATTGAGTAATAACAAAAAAACATGTATAGATAAAATTGTATAATATACATGCGATGTACAAAATTTTCAATAATAAAATCATTTCTTAAAAAAACGTGATGATATCTCGAGACTTTTGTAATTCGTTCGTTATCCGAAAATTCGAAGCTGTCGTGACACGGCTTTATACACTACCAACCCATAACTCCTTTCCTTTCCCCCACTTTCCTGGTTCCTACCTCAGACCTTCGTCGGAGCTTCCTCCGACGTCTTTTCATCCGCCATCACCGCCCTCCTTCTTCACAATCATTCCTCTGTGCATCGTCTTCCTCTCTCTTTAAAACATGTGCCAACCACCTAACTAGGTTTTTGTGCCTCTCTAATGCAGCAGCGACCACCGACTCTCATCCGGATTTCAATCAATCCGGAGGGAAAACGTCACCATGTTTGTTACTGCATCACCTTGTTGCCGCGCGCTTTCTCTTGGCCCACCTCTTCATTCTACGGCCGGAGTTAAGAATAAACTCTCAAAACCCTATGTCTCATTCAAATTCAAACGGACCACTCGCTTGTTAAAAGTACATTCTTCAAAGACATCGAGAAACGTAAGTTGGAATTTGCATTTTCATCTATTACTTCAATGTTAGTAGTGCATATCGGTTTTTTTATGAGCACAAATTATAATACAAGTAATTGAAAGTTTTCTGAATGAAACTTCGAGACATTTGCTCCATTGTGGATTGAATCATATGCAAGTTTCATATGAGCAAATATGTTATGATGCTTTTTTTTGTTGTTAGTTATGTTGTCAAGGGTTGTTAGAACAAATTGAGCGTTATATCCTTTTACCTTGTTGTTATCCATTTACAATAGGGAACATAAAGCAGTTCAAAGTTTGTATATCTGATATGTGAATGCCTGTGAATATCATATGCAAAAGACTCGAGGGCAATAGTTTCTTCAGTATCAAAGTTAGATATTACTGGAAATTCAGAAACAGTGTATATGAATGAATTACGAGTCTATTGATATGATTTTAACCTCATTTATCATGCTTTCCTTATTTTTACCTTTTGTATAAAAAACATAAAGCAAATTTGAATACATTTTCTGTTTGTTTAAGAGTATCTGTCATTCTTAAAACGCAAACAATGGACACCACTTTTAAGCTTTTTTCTGTAGCTGACCTGATTGGATTTTATGTTAACCTGTAGAATTGGAGATTTTCATGCTTTAAGCATGATGAATCTTCTTTGGAATATTCCGTCTCTGAGACTTCAGAAGATGTATTGCCAGGCGAGATGGTAGAACCAGAAAGAAAACAACCAAATGTGAAGCATGATTGGATTTCAAACATCAGAAAGGTAATTTTTCTTATCTAGTGCTTTCCTTAGTACTTCAATTGACATCAATGGAGATCGTTATGCCTATCATTATTTGACAATAACATCTGAGATTGGCAGGGATTCCATAGTGTTGTCTATTTTGAAAACAAATTAGCTAAAAGCAAACAGAATTAGATGCCAATCAATAGGATTTTCTTGGTAAACCTTACTGATGATATTGTTGTTGTAGTACAGTGGAGTGGTTCATATATCATAACCCTAAAGAAAATTTATCAAGGTGGGTTATCACTTACCATCTTTTCTCATTCCCAATCCTCTGAAAAATTCAACATAGATGCTAGGTGGATTAAGCAACTATAGGGAAAAAAACACAAAAGGATAAATGAGGCCACATGTCTTAAAACCACTCGCAATCCGGATATGTATAATCTCACTTGCATACATTAAGAGTAAAGCACGTACGTCGGTATGTGTGTTGGGGAGAGCAAGATTTGATTGGAAGAATGCTGTAGGTTGCTGACTTGATACCTGTTTAATCATGGCAAAATACGGTATGATTAACAAATAGAAATAACCTTACAACTTACAAGAGAATAGCTGAATAGTAGCCTTCTGGAACAAAGGAAGAGAGAGGTACAGTGAAATTATGGGGCGACGTCATGGTTTGTTGCCATTTGAGGATCTGAAAAAGATTGTTTCAATTATGTGGAAAAACTACACTTATGACCATGATCAGATAAAGATAAAGGGCTGCTGACTGTAAAAGTGTTAGTTGAATTGATCTGCTTTAGGTATATGTGTATTTAATCTCTTATATGCATGTGCATCCATTAAGGGAGAATCATTCAGAAACGGGGATTAGCTCGGATCATTGTGCAATGTCCTAATCAAATGCCTAGTGGAATGATCAAAGCCGATGATCAAAATGGATCAGTGCAAAAGGTTCTTGCTGTTAGTATATGTAATCATGTATCTGTTTTATGGCAGTTCGTTTTATCAATTAGGGAAATGTATGCTTGTCATAAATATTGGAGAATCACATAATTTAGATATCTTAACGGAGTAGTGCTTATGCAGTGATGTCATGCACAAGACAACTATATACACAAAAAGTTGAAGTTGGAAGGTGGGTGGGAGACCTGTGTGCTGTTTGACCTTTTAACTAATAATCACAACTTTTAGTATTTTGTTTTATCGTTTGTGCTTTATTATACCAAAGTATTTAAACAGATACTTTTTTCTCATTCTGTTTTCTTCTGATATATCCATACTTTAGTGGTAAAGTGTATTTCGTGTCTTTCTAATATAGTAATTTGGCAGGGTTAAGAAGTGGTAATCAAAGTGGTAAATAGTGTGGTTCATATTGCTGATATACTTGCATGCTATTTTCAGGTTGCAGATGCCACGTTTAGCTCAAAACCATGGACCGTGCCATGGACAGCCAAGACGATTTTGCAGGTGCAGCTCTTTGTATTTATTACTATATTCTTTGTTAGTTCATCTTTGCAGTCACCTAAACCATTACATACTCAGAATAGTCCATACAAGTCAGTTATTTGAAAATCCCTTTCAAGATGCAAAATGAATGTTTGCTGTAGTAAAGGTTGTGGTTATGGCTATGAGATGTAAAAGGGCAAGGGAAGGTAAAAACCCATTGTTCTTGGCAAATTTTTTGATGGGATGCCGATACTGTGTAAGATAAGGTAATGGGAAACTAGTGTACCTAGTGTTAAGAGAAATGCGGTCTAGAACAAGAAGAAAAGAGAACTTGGCATTTCTTGTGGGGATAAGCGATTAACAAGGCTGCATGCCATAAAGTCTCAATAGTCAGGTACACTACATTTACTAATTACGAGATCTCTAGGTTGATACTTTCAGCACTTCCTTAGGGTCAGTTTATTGGATAAATTTACACACAAGGAAAAAAATGGATAGTCACTTGCCAAGTAATATAAGAAGTTGATTCTGGTTGGAGACTAGTTTCTGTGGACAGCCACTTCTGACAATGTGACGTCTGGTGTTGTTAGAGGCATGCCTAGGTGCAATGATGGGAGGCTATGGTAGCTTGGCTTTCCTGAGGCACAGTGACTTCAGCGAGGCGTGCCTCGACCATGAAGTGTAGAGGGCTAGAGGCACAAGGCATACGAGGTGACTATTATTTCGAATAAGGTGACTTCAATTGTAGATTGAGGTTGAATAGGCACGCTATGGTTGGCGTGGTTGATTCCAACTTCAACTCTGGTGACGGAGACTCAGAACAGGTACCACAGATTCGAATGATGGTAAACAAGCTGGTTGAACTGCACTTATGAAATCAGCGAGGTATACTCCGCTTCCAGCTATGGTGTTGGCATGTGTCATGGAGATCGACTCGAATTCTGGAAGGCTGTAGCGAATGTGCCTGAGTAGCTATGTGTATTAGGTGAATGGATTTTTGATCCCGCCTCCAGTGCAGACATGCGACATGCTCGTTGATGCGAAATCTGGAGGACGATTGCGATGGATCTGACTGTCACTAATGAGTTATATTTAGTGTCTAAACAGTGTTTTGAAAAGCATCGGAGGATCTAGGATTTTGACCGAGTGCCTAAGCTTAACCGATTAAATGGGGATAAACGAATTATTACTCCATACATTAAGCAGTCTAGTTCTAATGTCTAAAATACAGTTGGAAGGAGTAACCTGGTAAGTTTGCCTTGCAACTAAAAATAAAAGCATACATAAGAAAAATAAATTCCATGAAAGGCTTAATGTGAGAGTTGCCTATTTCTCTATTATTATCATTATAATAATTTACAAATGAAATGATGAATTTACAAAATTAATTTGAGTTCTTAAGATTTGTTATTTTGCTTATAATAAAATAATGTTATAAATATTCTATATACAGTCAAACAAAATTTGAAACAACTTAATATTAGAATATAAAATCTTTTTATGACTAATAATATTAGATTATATAGAGCATTTGACATTTCTCAAATAGTTGGCTCATTACTAATAAATTGTCTTTTTCAAAGTCAGAAAATTTGCTCAATGGTCTCTTCAATGAACGAAAAAGAATCCAAAACATAATGGTTGTTGAGAAGAAGTTTCCAAGATAATGAACATAGGGGGTGGTCATTTGGGAAAAATTGCACAACTAGGAAATGACAAGCAATTGATTGTATCATTGGTCGTCTTTTTGGTGCTTTGCTCAGGTGAGTCAAACAGATAATATATAATAGAGTTTGGGACCCCTTTTGGCCTAATTTGACATTTTTATTCAAACTCAATTCGTCCCATCAACTTAATTCTGAACAGTATCGCTTAAGATGCTTAAATTTGTTATTTTTTCTCCTAAATTTTTAGGCTTCAGTTAGACAATTATTCCAAAGTCAGGATAATCTACCACCTGCCTCTGCCTATTTGCTTGCTTAAAGACTTCTAGGATATTGTTTATAACCATAATATAATATGTTGGAAAGACGAAATTATTAAGAACGGAATGTGTATCAATCTCTTCCAGCTGTTAGGAAGGGATCTGTTATGTTTAGAATGTGGATATTTGTCCAGCAGGTTAATTGCTGTAATTTAGGTAGTTTCCTTGTTATTTTTGTATTATAAAATATTGTACATCCCTGTGAAGGAATACATAGTTGAGAATATTTTTCAGTTCCCTTTTTGTTTCATGGTATCAGAGCCAAGTGATCACTACTGGCTAAAAGTTTTGGTTTGTGTTAAAACCATTGTTTCTCGTGTCTTGATTTGTTGGTAATCATCTTGTTTGGTTCCTTTCTGATATACCAACAATCTCAATAATGTCAGACTCTACCCAATCTTCTACCACTCATCAATCTTAAAACCAGACTCCACCCTCTTTCCCATCTGCAGAAATCAGTTCTTTCCTCCAAATTACCCAACATAAGCTCAACAGATTGAACTTCCGTGAATGGTTCCAATCTGTTCTACTCGTTATTAGTGGGAAAGGAAAGACTGGGTACTTAAGTTGTGAAACTAAGGCTCCAGACAAGAAGGATGAAAGTTACAAGGTATGGGAGGCAGAAAACTTCATTGTTATGGCATGGCTTGCCAATTCAATGAACCCCAACATTGGTAAAACCTATCTGTACTACAAAACATCCCATGAGATATGGAAGGAAGTTGGAGATGTATTCTGATCTTGAAAACACCTCACAGTGTTTCGAGATTAGATCGTCTCTACGTAATACCAGTCAAGGAGGAAGGTTCTTAACCGAGTACTGCAATGTACTAACAGAATTATGGCAGGAGATGGACGTCTTTTACAACATAAACTGGTCATGCAGTCAAGACAGTATTCGTTATGCCCAGATGCTTGAAAAAGACAGAATCTGTGATTTCCTTCACGGTCTCAACAAGGATCTAGATGTGGTTAGGGGCAAACTTCTTGGTACCAAACCTCTGCCCTTCCTTAGAGAAGTATTTGCGGAAGTACGACGAGAAAAAGTCGGAAAAAGGTGATGCTGCAGGCTCCAATAAATGTTGAAATCCAAGGATCTGCACTTGCTACCTACAGATCTGAAGGCCAAAGGAATGCAAAACCCAAGGGTATCAAGGTCTGGTGCGAGCATTGTGAGAAACCGTATCATACGAAGGACCAATGTTGGGACATCCATGGAACGCCAAACTGGACTCTTAGAAGGCAACAATCAGTGACTACTTCTACTCATGTTGTGTAGACCTCCTCAGAGAATATCTCGTCTCCAACCCCATTCATAACCGCCCAAATGGAAGTTTTAAAAACTCTTGCAGCCGACTAACTCTCAGGCAGGTAATAGGGCGCACCAAGGTAAGTATATTCTAGGATTCTATCATCCCTCTTAAAAGGAAATATTTTGTAGGGTGGATCGTAGATAACAGTCTTCTGATCATATGACCAGAAACATACAATTATTGAGAGAATTTAAACCAACCACCAACTGTATTACTGTCACATTGCTGATGACAAGGTTTCTTGAGTTACCGGCTCCGAGAGTATCATTTACAATGACTTAAAACTGAATTCAGTTTTATATGTGCCAAACCTTCGGTTTAATTTACTATCAGTTACTAGACTCCTCAAGGATCAAGACTGTGTTGTCACTTGTTTTCTTACCATTGTGAATTTCAGGAGCGGTCTTCGAAGGAATCTCATGGTATCTACTACTTACTTGGTTCTCCATATAAACCCCCTCATCAAAAACAACTTTCTCTATCTACCATGTTCGAGTCTAATGTTCTGTTATGGCACCAATGATTAGGTCATCCTAGTTTTGATTATTTTCACCGGTTGTATCCACATCTATTTATCAATAAAAGTCATTTGGGGTTCCAATGTGAAAGTTGTGTTCTTGCAAAACAAACTCGAAAAACTTACCTAAACTATACCTACAAACCATCTCAACCATTCAGTATAACCCATAGTGATGTATGGGGTCCATTACGTACTCGAAGTATCAAGGGCAATCATGATACACAATGATATACCTCCCTGTTTTTGGGGTGAAGCCTCCTCACATCAGCCTATTTAATCAATCAACTTCCTTCCAAAATCTTGAGTATTTCAACCCCCATACGAAGTCTTCAAAAGAGTTCCCCTATTCTTCGAGTTCTAAACTCTCTTTCCCCACGTGTTTTTGGCTACACAACCTATGTTTCTATCTCGTGGGAAATTGGACCCCAGAGCTCTCAAGTGTATTTTTGTGGGTTACTCACCTACTAAAAAAAGGGGTACAAGTGTTACTGTCCGACCTCAAAAAGGGTGTTTATTATCTGTGATGTCACATTCTTCGAAGCACAAAACTTTTATCCCACTGTATCTCTTCAGGGGGAGATTCTCAATGTCCACTGGGATCCCTCAATCTCTCTTCCTGTGTCTCTATCTGAGCCTAGTCCAATCTCCAGTTCAACCCTTCCAGCCCATGAGAAGTCGGTTAAGGGGGAGATGCAAAACTCTCCTAGGTCCAAGCAGAGTCAGTTCAAGGGGGAGATACTCAACTACCCCCTTTCCAAGTATATCCCAGAAGACCAAGACCTGGTAATTGCCAATCAGCAGCACCTGAACCACCTGTTTCTGCAGAATCTCAGGAACCGGAACCTATTGCACCTCAAGATTCTAACGATCTTGATGTCCCCATTGCTATCCGGAAAGGGGTTCGAACCTGCAGATACCCATTGTTAGCTCATCTCTCATACAGTAAGCTTTCTCTGAATTACAAGGCATTTCTATCACAGGTGGATGAGGAAGCGACTCCCATAAATATTCATGAATGCAATCCAAAAAGGAAGAATGCAGTTATGGAGGAAATGAAAGCTCTTAAAGAAAACAAGACATGGGAGGTTGTTAAAACTCCAGCGGAAGAAAAGTAATTGGGTGCAAATGGTTGGGGCTGATGGAAAAATCGAAAGATACAAAGCCAGGTTGGTTGCTCAGGGCTACACTCAGACTTATGGAATCG